CAGCAAGCAGAAAAATGCGAAAAAAAAGAGAAAATCTCAGTCTTTTCCGGAATGTTTCGCATATATCAGGACTGCTCATTCTTGAATTAATGTAGGCCTACACTTATGGCGACTGAAACTGAAACCCAATCACTGTATATTATAGAGCCATGGTCTGTAAAAACATATAAGAAAAGATGAAAGTACTGTAAATGCGGCGAATTATTTTGTGGTTTATAGAATAATCTTTATTTTTTATTTATTATATGGATATAAAGTTCTTAAAAATGCAAAATGAATATTTATTTTTCAATTTAGATTCATTTACTGTATGTACAACAGTTTTGTTGACCGGAATTATGGACGCAAGTTTTAAATTATTCTAATTTATAATTGAATTGTGATGTAATTTCAGATACTGTAACTTTTATACCGACTGATGTTAGTTATGAAGAAGCCAGCGTTATATGTGCTAATCAGTTAGGTTTCCTGGCATCGTATGAACAGTTGTACTACGCCTGTCTCTTATACACATCTAGATGTGTATAAGAGACAGGTGTTTTAAAAGATTACATGTGTTTCCACTTTTATTCCTGTTCAGATATTAAAGAAATAGGCCTAGATGCAATGTTATTCCATGTGGTTCGTATCATAGTGGATGCTATTGTTATAGAGAATACAATACATCTTTAGAAAATGTTGACTTTTTCCCAAACACCCAGCGAATAGTTAGACTCACAAAGAGCAAGTCAGAGAAGTTAAGTGCCAATGAATCTGAGGTGTGCTGCAGTAACCGTTTCGGTGGCCGACTGGCGACTCCACTTGAAGTTTACAATGCTTCGTACTCGCTAGGTGTTGATTTTTGCATAGAAGGCTGGTATTTGGGATGGTTGGCTGGTAATCCGTGTACTGGATCAAACTCCCCTTCTGAATTCTGGTTTTATCCGACAGGAAATGCGATTAAATTGATTGATCCAATGATGAAATACTTTTCCTTTTGTTACATTACTCTCCCAAACCATCGCATCACCTCCCCAGATCCCTTTCCCCCTCACCGAGTAATGTGTGTATGTGGTGATTTTGGCCCTCCTAAGAGGTATACCCTTACTTACCAAGAAGTTGTGTTCAGGTGCATAGGCTATGGGGGAACATTGGCAAACAGAGCACAGGTAGAAAATGCACAGCGTTTAGGATACGACTGCTGTAGTGCTGGTTGGGTTCAAAGTGGAGAGGTCATTTTCCCTATAACACATCAGAGAAGTAACTGCCCTCCTACCAATGACGACCCTCTTAAAAGTTGGGGTTATTATGATCGTAGCCGTAAATTTTGTGGTTTTTGTTACATTTAGTAGTTGACCACTTCTCACAGAAATTAGACGCAATTGACGAATGGGGTTGGGGGAGGCGGCAAACGAGATAACAGAGAGAAAAAACTTCGTCGATATTTTCACATAAACCTCATAACTTTATGAACATTTGAAATAAAAACTTAGCATAGAAGTACAGGAAATTATGATGAATTAACAATCTCATTTCACACATGTTATATCCAAATTACAGAAAATTATGTTTATATTACCAACGTATTAAGAATTATCCTAAAAAATGTTGGTTTATAATGTTTTACGTTGATTGTTGAAAAATCTTAGTTATTACAATCTATAACATGCATTAGGAACACGACTTTTCAAAGACAGGATCATCATGTAATTGTGAAGTTATATTACAGTGGGTTTGGTTGGAAGTGATTAACATTAGCCTAGTTTGAATAAATGGACACTTTGCTCTGCACATTTACCTATACACAATAAAACACACACTTAAATGATATTCAAAGAAGATTTGAAAAGCCGAAAATCCATAGTCTGTCTGACGCAGAAACACTAGAATGGTGTTTGTAATATATTGATCATGACAACGCCCTCTAGAATATATTCTGGGAGTCGAAAATAAAAAGTTATGCGGAGCAGTCATCTTATTGTGGTAGTTGTTTATTTATATTCAGTTGTATTATA